AGGTAACAACTAACTCACGACTTAGCTGACAGAACCTCGAGAGTATCCTCCAACACGTCCTCACGCTACGAACGCTCGACCAAGACTGAGGCATGTGTGAAACACAGTTGGGAAATGGAGAAACATCAAGCATTGAGAGATGAGCCTCTTTCAGCTTTTATGGCGTTCAATGTGCAAAGAGCAGAATGTTGGGATTGAAACATATTGTACAGGGTGGGGTATAAGCATAGTATGGATGGAAAACGTGGGGAGAGGGTGGGCGGGAGGCTATGGGACAGTCTATGCACTTCATCTCTTTTTCTTCTTACTCTTCTTCCATTTTTTGAAAGAAAAAGAAGACCCCCTGGTCTTGACAAAGAAGACCTCCCGGCCTTCCACTTCCTAATGCTACTCTGCTATAGGCTGGGGCATAAGTTCCTCATCCTGCACAGCTCTGATGCATTTTTTAAAAATGATGGTTATGTTCCATTCTGTCCCAGACAGGCTGTAATATTGCATAAATTATCTCAATGAGCACTTCCCTACTCAATGTGTGGTTCAATTGTTTTTGTCATAAGAATGTGATCAATAATAAACATTTTGAAAATGTATGATGTCACATTATTATGCTTCTGGGCAAGTAATTCATGCCCCATACTGCATTTTCACTATGTAATCACATGTGTCAGTCTGAAATGCAGACTAAAAGTGCCCCCTAGTCAACATCACATCACCACTGACACATAAGACAATCAAGCAAGTCTATGAACACATAAAACAGCTGGTAGAAAACAATGACCACATCTCATTCACACCTGATTCTTAGTGAGCGGATGGTGATTGACATCCGCTCAAGGAAGCCACAGATGGCCAGATGCTCCTGAAATTTCTTGCCAAGTTGGCACAAACCACAGCTTGATTCACATAGCAGGTGTAGGAAATTGCAACAATGGTTTGGAACAATTGAGAAATCTATTCAAAAAGCACCATCAAAATGCCTGGAAGTTATAATAATAAATAAGTGGAGCATGTACCAAAGATCCAAGGTAAATACTTCTGGTATGCAACATGGAGCTTATTTTCATGCCTTCGTTGAAGTAATGAATGCAAACTTACACAAAAGGTAACAAAGAAGAAAAACAGGTTTCCTTGGCCTTCATGGGTATTTATGCTAAAATGAAATAAGAAAAACTTCGTAAGAATAACATATTAGTCTGGCATTGCAGGAGAACAAGGGAACATGAAACCCCATGGAAGATGGGAAGGAATAGTTATCATTCAAATGTGAGCGATTTTATGCCAATTTTTAGGCCAATGGCACCAAAATACTGCAAGAAGGGTGGCAGCAGTGCTCCCATTCCCTAAGGACCCAGATGAATATCCTTCCCTGCTTACTTTCAGCCAAAAGAATCTGACACTTAAAAGGACCAAGAAAAAAAAAAGCCACTCTATAAGAGTGACAAGTTTTCTGATCCTTTTGAAGAAAAAAAAATCACATTCCAGATATGCACAACATCATCAGGCTTCCTCTGCATCTTCCATACTCTTGAAAATAATTTATAAAGCACGAGCCCCAAGGCATATGAATCCAATGGAAGTGGGAGATGAAAGTCACACAAGCCATTTCTTGTGACCCTCCCAATTTTTTTGCCAAAGTCAGCATGGAAGATAACAGATGGTAACTAAATGGAAAATCAACCAAAACAGCACTCACTTAAATGCATGCAATTTTTTCCAGATACTGTAATAAGCTGTCTTTTCAATTCTCTTGTGCATACACAGCATATGCTTATACATAGGGCATATATAGTTTTTACATCATAACTCCCCAATGAAAGATACTTGAAGCCCTGGGAATGTTAAGCTGCAGCAACTCCTTCAGATTGATGAGAAGTGTTCAGGCAAGAAAATGCATATTTGATATCAGCCAGAATAAAAAAAAAATCATATCACCCTGTTCAAATGTAGGAGCAAAAGAGTCCTTTCCAATTGTGGAAACAACTAATGAAGCCCCATCTTTCACATCAATCCTTTCAGGCATCAGAATCCAAGGGTGAACAATCTCAAGAATGTCACCAAAACACCACAATTTTACAGTTTGCCTCTGAGGCAGGTCAGAACAGTACATAAATTTAGAAGGCAGATCAGCACCAACTCAAGAACAGTGGATTGGCATAAGCATTTCTTAAGAGAAGGTATATGAAAAAAGAATAAAGCAAGAATTATGTCAGATTACACCAAGTTATTAAAAGGGAAAGAGAAGTTGATGAATGCTAAGGTCTCACGCATCACTTGACTTCCCACTGCCAGAATCTATTAACAGAAAGACAAATATTTTTTCATATTGTTACATGTAACTTATGAAAGAGGATGGTGATGATGGAAGATGAGAAAGAAAGGAACCTGGACAGAAGGAAATGTCAAGGGGAGAAGGAGTCTTGACTACAGAAGATGATGAGGAGGATCGAGATCGGGCCCTCATCTCTTGCAGGGATCCCCCTGGTGGACTCAAACTCACAGACTTCTTTGAGCTCTGGAGAGAACCACCAGGTCGTGATGGAGTGGATGCAGATGAAGTTGATCTTTTTTGAAGGGATCCCTCAGGGGGACTCCGACTCAAGGACTTGTTGCTCTGGAGGGAACGGGAACAGCTGGGTTGTGACGGGGCAGAGGGGGATGACGTTGACCCAAAGCGTGCCTTGTAGTAGCCTTCCAGGGCACGGGGGCGAGATGTTCCTGATGACACAGATGATGCTCTTGAGGAACTTCGAGTAGCTGGAGCTGCCAACCCACTTGGAGGAATGTCATGCTGCAGACATACCATCATATAAGATGATACATTGATGGGGGAAAATTTAAGTAATACATATGAAACTGGATTCCTCATATTTGATTCTCTTTTACTTCATCATATACTTCAGTAAAATCAACATTTTGGAGAGCCTTCTATTGACTAAAACTGAACCAATCAGATGGGAAACATGCCTTCTAAAAGAATTCTGATAATGACAATGAGATCTGACTAAAAACGAGCCAATAGTTCAGAGCAAATGCATGCCAAAATCTAGCAAGTACTCCTCATCTCAGGTCAAGTCCAGCTCATCCTCATCATGAGCACAGGGGATTTTCATCAGCTCACATGAGCAGGATCATCTGTTTCCAGCTGTCCCTGACTGGATTCAGTCCTTTGATACAGACAGCTGTCAATAGCACAATACTCAATAACATGGGGAAGTGGAAGAAGGAACAAAGGAGTTCGATGAAATGAATTTTCCTTTGCTGTATTGCGAAGGGTCTGCTAAGAAAAGAAAAATGAAAGAGAAGAAGAAAGAGAATGCAAGCATGTTTCTACCATTTGACAACCAGATGGTCTCTGGGACAAAGGAGTTCACCAGACAACCAGAGTCAAACACACAAACAACCCATGAGTCATTAAATAAGTTCCTGCATCTCCCTTTTCATGCCAGACAGGTAAGAGAAGGAAGCAAGGGAGAGGTACCTCAAGGAACAGTCTCTCAGTGACAGCCCAGACAGCTATATCGGCTCCAGCCTCTGCCTGGATCAACTCCATCGCCTTCCGTCTCCTTTCCCGCTTCTCTCGCACCTTCACTTCCATCTGCAGCCACATCAATGACTTCCATAATGATCCATGAAGGCATGCACTTAAACAAGCAAGGAAATATAAAATAATATTGTGACAAGTATAATTAAAAAAAGCCAATATTCCTCTTGGAGAGAGGAAACCAATGCTAATTGCTTCCTATTGCTATTCAATTTTTTATTACCACATAAAAACACAACTGCAACAGTTGCTATTGGGTAATTTAAGGAATAAGGACTTTGGAGCTTCAGTGCAGTCACAATAAATACAGTTAATGAAATAGCAATAGCAAGGACCAAAATAGAAAGCTGATTTAAATCTATCAAAGTCAGGTATCCATGGGCAATTCAAGAATGGTTTTCATAGCAATATGGAATTAAAGGAATTACAGTTATAAATCGATGTGTCAATTAAGGGTAATGAAACAAATGTTTGACATACAAGGAGGGATTGGAGCTCGGCAGACTGGAAATGTGAATGGAGATCACGGTGAAGGCGGCGGAGAACAGCATCTACGACCTCTCTGCGATGCTCCTGACTCTTCACTTCCTTCTCCAGTGCAGCGAGTTCCTGTTGGGACTCCCATTCCTTCTCCCGTTCAGCTACCCTCTCCTTTTCTACTTCCATCACTTGGGCTTTCACCTCCTCACATTTCTGATTCACAGCATCTAGGTGATGCTGGGCTTCCCGTTCCAGCTCTGCTGCTTCCCGGTATTCCCCCTCCATCACTGACCTCCTTCCACCTCGCTCATCATCCTCCTCTTCTTCCTCCTCCTCCGGTCCAACTCCTCGTCCATGTGATACATATGACTCCTTAAATCTATCAGGGATGCCCATACCATGAAAACTTTTACTTCTGAGACTCGATCTTGACAGGAAAAATATTTTTCTTAACAGTCAGAGATTCAAAACAGAAAAAAACCAAGGCCAAAATGACTGGATCACTAAAGAGAATGACAATTGAAAGGCTCCAAGCAAGAAGGCACAGAAGGTTATGAATTTAAATATATAAAAATTGACCAAAGACAATCCCTAAAATGTGTTCTACATGTGAGAAAGTAACATCTTTTTCAAAAGAAATAAGATGGTTGGCTTAGGAGCTCTACAATGTCCTGTCAAACAGAGTAGATCTACCAGCTTCTCCTATTTCACTGGTCTCTGTGAACTAGATGAAAAAATTGCAATTTTGCACCTTCTTGAGTTGGGTACAACAAAGTTGCATACTTCAAAGGTCAGGTATACAGCAATGGAAAAATCTCAACAAGTAGTTTAAAGGAATCAAGTTCTCAAAACATCAGTGTCCTTTGTTGCAAGAGGTTTCTGTCATTCCTGCAATCCACATGATGAAATGCTACAATTGCAATCGAGACCATAGCACATAGCCCAGTGAGCAGATCTCTTTCTTCAAGCATGGGAGTGAGATGCTGGAGCTATTTCAGTCATTGCTTACAATGTTCCTAAATGTGGCAGCTCTGTAGCAATAGTGGCTCATCGATGGAGACAATGCATCAGAAAAATGTGAGCTGCTAATGGTTCCTAGCCCATACCAAGGTGTTTTTAAATTGAACTCCAAGATGAAACAAGCCTGAGGGGCATCTTAGTCTACCTCAGAAAACCAGACAATTTGGCTCAAAAAGATCAAGGGCATAACAGAAATAGAGGTAAGAAGAAGACCAAGACCTATGATTGGCATTCTCAACAAGATGGAGTGTATTGAGAGCAGCCTGGAGCTCCTCACGCGCTTCCAACAACTCAGCCTCTGCATCCTGCAGATCTTGGAGCAGCTCCCCTTTCTCCTGGACCCTCTTCACCATGAGGTATCCAGGAGTGACCTCAACGTCTACTTCCTTCCCCTCACTGAGGCCATCAAGCACCACCTCCTTCCTGTCACCAATGCAAGACACCAGTATTGACCAGTGGGTAACACCAGAAAGAATGAGAGAGACCAACCTCTTGGAGAGCCGCTGGATGCGGAGGAGGCGGTCATTAAGGAAAGTCTGGAGGCGGGTTGCATCCCCTTCGACCAAGCGCAGTTCTCCTCTCAACTGCTCCATTTCTCCTTCCCACATCTTCTCCATCTCCACATCCTCCTTCAATCACACAATACCACATAAATTTTAATTTCAGAATTTGTCTTTACTTTGACACTTCATTTTCCACCTCTCAAAGATTGACATCACTTATAGCCACACAATTCTTTAATGACTAGAGAACTGATGATGCCTTCTAGCAAATTCCTTCAACAGTAGATATTCAGCCATGATAAACAGACTGGTAAGACAACAAAAGGATATGATGCTCACAGTTTGAAGTGCAATTTTGTCCTTTTCCAGCTGTAGGGTCCTGTGAGAAAGTTCCTGGAGCCTCCTGCTCACCCGCTGCACCTCCACTTCAAGAAGGCTCCGTTCCATCATCCCTCCATCGCGTCGCTCTGCCGTCACATGAGTGTGCAAATCAGTTTCTTCACATATTGAAATACAACTTCTCAACCACTTAGGTTTCCATAAATAGTATGAAATCATCAGTGAACTTTGGTTCTCCTTCTCAGTTGTACAAGCCCACAATTCAATTACAAAACACATATTAGCTACAATCTGTCAATATGAAAGAAAGTGTTGATTACAGATGACTGGATAAACCTAAGTTGTCTGGATATGACACTGAAACTAAAGAGAGAAACCCAGAGTAGAACACAAAGGGAAGTGCACTCATGGTTTCAGGAAAGAAGACATAAGGGTAAGGAGTAGAGGTTCGCAAACAGTGGGTTGTGACCCAGTGAGAAAAATAAGTATCAACATAAGTAAGAGTTTGGGAACCACTGGATATAGGACTAATTCCCAAATATGGGTAGCTGTATTGGCACCAGCAAATTGACCTCCTTTCAAGAACAGGATTTTCAAAGTAGGAACCTTTTAGAGAGTTGAGGGTACGAAGCATGGACGCATATTCGCCCTCAAGGGAATTGACCTCCTCCTTCATTCTTTCCATTTGTTCTTGCCCCTTCTCTGCTTCCCTCTTTCCTTTCTTCACTTCCTCCTCGGCCTTACTGCACTGACAATAACAACATATTCAAGCCTCTTTCCGATGAAGAAATGGTAAGAAAGGAGGTTACAAACCGGACATCTCTCTCTGCCTCATAAGCAAGCCACTGGGCATCAGCAAGACATGCTTCCAGGTGCTTCTTCTCTTCTACCAGAGCTGTTTTCTCTTCCTCAGTGTGAACTGTCCCCAAGAGCTGGGCCAGGCGTCTCTCCAATGCACTGCTCTTGTATTCCTGTCGAGAAATGCCCATCAACATATGAGCAACATCCATATTCACAACTGGGTGTAGCACAATCTATATCCAGCCCTCATTTTGTTATCAATCTGATAGATTGGAGGGCCAAGACTATTTTGTGCAATTCCTTGCTCTTTGACTTTTGCTGCAAACAAGCAGTAGGGTAAAATTAGTGTCACTTAGGGCCACATGTTTATTTTGAGAATGTATCAAAAGCTGAAAAGCATACAACATGAACAAATATTTTGATGAACAGCAACTTCTATTACAATGTCCAGCTTCTGTGCTTCATTTTTTCAGTTTTTCAAAAGGAAAAATTCTGTTAACAGGAAGAAACTTCTTCTCCTATAATAATTCTACATATTTTAACAGAGCATTGGAAACTGAAAGAATTCATGAACAGACCATTTTGTATATGGCATCCTCGCGAGCAGCTATGTCCTGTTCCAGAGCAGTAGCTTGTGCATGAGTAGCAGTAATCTGAGTCTGGATGCCAGTCACACGCCGAGTGATCTCTTCCTTCTTCTTTTCCTTCTCCTTCAGCTCCTTCTCTCGCCTGGCCATGAGAGCCAAAGCAAGGGCCATGCTCCTCTCCAGTCCTCTCCCTCGCCCTTCTTCCTCCTGCGTTGACACATCCCCTCTCAAAGATCACGTAGAGGGATCAACATGAGGGAATGACGAATGAGGTTAAAACCTGAATAAGTTGAAGAAAGAGGTTGAATCGTTTGTCAGCATCAGATGCATTATGCTCCCATGTCTTCTTTTTCTCTTCTATTTCTCGTATTTCTTCCAGAACTCTCTTAGACTTTTTCTCTGTCATCCGCTGTTCCTCCTCCATCTTCTTGTTGACCACTCTCAAAGCATCTAGGTCTCGCCTGGCTCCTGCCAAGGCATTCTGGCTCACCGCCATCTGAGTTTGGATTCCTATTTCTTGAATTTGCTGCATTTTTTAGCCAGGAAAGCTAAAAAAAAAATAAACCTGGTCTATACCTGTTGAACCAGGTCCTGCTTCCTTGTCTTTTTGTCCTCCAGAGCCTGCTTGATCTTAGCTTGCCTGGGCTTCAGATCTCCTTCCAGTCTCCTTGCCAACTCTATATTATTCCCTCTCTCTCGCTGTGTATATTCCTCCTCCATCTCTCTCTTGGCATTCAGCTTCTTTCTCTCCTCTTCCTTTTCACCCAGTTCCTGCCAAAAAATAAGATGGAAATTCAAAATCTGAACAGCAGGGAGAGAGAGACCATGAATTTACTCCTTAATCTTTACAGTCACTCAAGTTCTTTTCAACTAGAAAAAAATGTACCTAAGATTTACCAACAATGACATGAGGATGCATCACTCATATGCCTTTAGTGCAAGTTTTGCTGCTTTCAGTTGACTGGCCCTAGTGTATCATGCACTTTGGCCTGATCCAATCATTAGTGCACTCTCCACAGTGATATACACAAAAGGATACAATCATAAAACATTGAGTTCATTCATGGTGTTTACCCCCTCAGACATGCTAATGCTATTCAGCTGCTTTACATTTTCTTTCATGAATTTGATGCACTCTCTTGAAAGACATGGATGACCTTCAGAGAGCTGGAAAAAATCACATTTGCTTCCAAATATGGTCATGAGGTCTTTCCGTAATAATACATTCAAATGAAGGCAACTTCATAATGGAAACAAGATGAACTAGGGCTTTCTCAATGAATCTCCATATCTTAGATTCTGCAAGACAATGTCATCATAGAGCAATACGTGACTTGCCATCCAGTCCAATCATGCCACAATTGCTCAGTGATAATGACAATGACTCCCCTGGTGATGTGCATGTACTTCACAGGTCAAGTATCCTGCTGATTTTGGAATCACAAGAACTCTTTCATGAAAACAAAGTACTTCATACTGAATTGTATTTTGGATCTTTTTGGAATTAGAAAAATTGATTTAAATTGTAATGGAAATCAATGCAGCCAAATTAGTATTGGTTATTTGTAAAAAGAATTAGCTCTCTGTAAATGGCAGGTAATATGCCTGGTTAGTTGTGATCCCCTGGGATAAAAGAAGTGAAAGAACTGCAGTAGGGACCTGAAGGGCCTGTTGCAGGAGATGGTTGCGAAGGTGAAGATTTTTGGTTGCTTCATGCCACCTGGACCCTGCTTCCTTCAGTTCCTGATCTCGATCCCTCGCCAGGCGCAAAGTCTTCTCTCGACTTTGCAACAGGGCAATGATCTCTGTCTCCAGGCCCTCTACCTTCCTTCTTTCCTGATCCACCTCTGTCTCCTTCTTCTCTAGCTCCAAGCTCACATCCTGCATGATTGCATTAATCAATGCATATGGCTCAGAGCCTACTTTGTCTTCCCCAACAGGAGATATCAGTTCCACACTCACCCTGATCTTGCCCTCGTCAATGTGAGCGTACTTGACCAGAGCAAGACTGTCAGAGTTCTTCTTCCCCAGTTCCCGCAACCATTCCTCGTAGGTGATTTGGTCCAGCTGGAGCTCCGTCTGTGCTTGCCCCAGTCGCTCCTGGTATCGACTTGATGCATCCTGTCACCATGGTAAGAGACAGTGAAGGACAGGACAGATGGCAAAGGGTAATGGACAGGGAAGAAGAATTAGGACTACCTCATGCCGACGGCTCCTCTCATGCAGGTGGGCATCTTCCTTTTCCAGGTCAACTATACCAGACTTCAATTTCTGAAGTTCTGCCTCCAGGGTGCGCAATGCCTCATGTTCTCTCTCCAGCTCCCCTTCTCGACTCCTTTCAAGGAGCTGTGCATAGAAGAATCCCAAATTTCTCCCTATAAGCATTCACTGGAACTTAAGAAACATGAATTTAAGGAGAAAGAAAGAGATTGCCTGAAGCTGATCTCGCTCTTCATAGACTCTCTTCTCATGATCTTGAAGGCTTTTCAATCGTCCTTCAAGTCTCCCCAATTCCTCTTGAAGCCTCTGCAGCTCCTCTTGCTTCTTCTGAAACTATAAAAAGCCCATCCACATTATTCACCTAACCCCATCTTCAAACACCACCTTAAAGTAAAATCCCAAGACCATGATGTCAAGAATTCAAATTCTGCAATAGTCCTTTTCATCCTACTCCACTAGTACATAAAGTATAAGGGAATATGAAATCAAAGAGGCTATAGTGATGGTCAAGGGGAGGGGGGTGTTAGACAGGGACCAAATTTGGCCTATGGGATAAGCTGCGTGCTCAAATAGTGGCTCATTGGACATCTTAAGCACTGATTAATGTAGCAAGAGGGATGCAAAGACCAAATTGGTCATGCTGAAGAGCAAGAGTGTCTGAACCATCCTCCTGAAGGGAGGTTGGGGCTGCTGTCTGTCTTCTCAGGCCTTGGCCAGATTGCACTTACAGGGCATTAACATGCTGAAAAATAGTACATTTAAGGATTTCGGGAGATTTGAGCTGAAAAGAGGCACTGCCATTAATTTGTGTCCTACCATCCCATTCACACAGTTCCCGCTTGCCCTCAAGCCACTTGAAATCTTCATGTTTCTGTTGCTTATCTTTCCCAACACAATATCAGAGCAATGACAATGTATTTGAAGTTGTATACCTAGAACAGGTGAGTCTCACATGGAGAAGGCAATTAAGCATATCAACAAAGGGGGCAGGTCCATATTATAGTCTGGAAAAGGGAGGGAGAAAGCAGTCCCAACACCTTGTGACTTGGGCCTTCACTTATTAACCCCTTGAAATGCTACCCAGGTGGGTTTGACTTTCTTTTTATAGAGTTATATTTCAAGTTTGAGTTAGATATGAACTAGGAAAAGAGCAGTAAATTTCTTATACAAACATCATTACTCTCATGAGAAGAAGCTCTAACTCCAGTGGTAGACTTCTGTCAAAGAAATTTCAAACTTAAGGGTTTTCTGTATTAAGCTAGGTGAGGTCTTGGCTATTGGCATTTAGCTAGGAATAGTTCCGAGATTGAATTCATATCCTTCCCCGGGTAGTGGAGAATGGAGAAAGCACTTTTTTCAGAGGATCTGCTTCATCATTAGATTCATAAACCATGTATGTGAGTAGTGTTACTACTTGCAATCAATGAAAGTGCTTCAATGGGGAGGGGGGGAGGGGAATGAATTCAATCTGAAAACAGTGTATAGTAAATACGCTAAAGTCGAGCCTGTTTCCTTAGTACAATGACGTGCTGCACAAGGGAGGCTCCATAATGAACTAATGCTTCATGCAGGGTTGTGAGTGTGTTTATCTGTAAAAGATGGATTGTGATCTACAATATCAGCTTGAAAGCCTTTGCATCATTAGTAATGATATCGCGAGAAGCATTGAAATGCAATAATATATCTGGATGCATGAATCGAACCAATGACATGAAAGCTGACCCGGCGGTTCCTCAAAGTTGGCCTTGTGATAGTGCTTCCTAACCTCACTAAGCATCCACCACCCGGCGTGAAGGCTTTAACAAGCCTCTATACACCCACACTGCTTGCCGTGTTGGCTTGCAGAGCCAGGAATGACCGATTTTGGACAGACTGTACTTTCCCAGCATAATTGCCTGAGAGGAACCTCTAGGAGGGAGATTCAAAGAGGGGACTAGCTGGATATTGCTTGACAGTCAAACTTGATTAGAATATCCATGGCCTTTGATATAGATCTTAGACTGACCATGGAAAGATAGATGTACGGTTAACACCACAAGAGACGTGCCGTTGTACACATGAATGCAGAATTCCCGACCTTAGGCATGTGCTTCACTTGCCTATGCCTACAACTAGGGATTGACTTTCAGAGACCCTCACCGCGATTCGGTCCAGAAAGCCGACCCTCTAAAATATTGAATCCCAAGAACATAATGATGCAACCATTTCTTACAGCATATTTTTCAGTTACCTTAGAACACTATATTTATGACCATCAACGCTTAGAGCCACCAGTAAGTACCATAACATAATATATACCAGGGACATTCATAACCATGATCTCAGCGTGCCTCACTTAAAGTAAGAACGATGTAACTTAAGAAGCTCATTTCCGGTTGACTATAAGGATTAACAATGATGCATTCTCTGTGAGACACATTTTTAGCTTCGCTTAAAACATGGATTTGAAGACGAAGACACAGAGGGCAGTATGTCATTTTAATGGCGAGGTCTATAAAGTGAACCGGAATTCCATCCAAATTCGTGCACGGGTCAACTTTCACGTACTTACGTTATACCTAACAATAGGCATTAATTGCATCCATAACATTAACTTTACAAATTGACACCATAGAAGACAAGTTTATTGGCTAGGCCTACAATGGCAACGTTAATTGGTCCAAGTTACTGAGGGTAGGTGCGAAATTGTCAATTACTGAATACATAAGCCTACAAAGAGAAAGTGAAAATGATCTTACCTGGTGTTGCAGGCGCTGGTTAAACTCGTTAGCAGCTGGGACGGCATAGCCATCGTCCCAGCCGAGTTCCTTGAAAAGCGATTCGTGGAGAATGACCATGTTGGCGACGGTCTTCACGTAGATGAATTCAATCTACTCAGAAAACCCCACAACGCGACTCCACCCATCGACGACGATCGACCAAGCTTGTTGCCGCTGCGGAGTTGATGAGCCACTCGCTTCCTGGCACGAAACTATCCTCATGTGCTACGCAGTTCCATTGAAGTGTTCCGGCTTCTGGGCTGGTGAAAACTATCTCACCTCATTCACAGAACATTTTTCCCGTTCTTGTCTCCTGGACAGCGTTTAATCGACGGCACCGACCGGAATGACTCCCATCGGACAGCACGCGAGGTCTCATCCGAGGGCCGACCGGAGCGAGCTATCGATCCAGCCAGGGAGGCCCGCCACGTGCTTCTATGGGGTTTCGGGCCCCGCGGATGTTCCGCCGACAGGGATGCCGGATGATCGCCTCGAGGGAAAAGAAAGGAAAATGCATTCATTCACTTCCTTTCGTTGCTTCACTTGAGGTGCGGTGCCCGTGGACCGAATTCAGGAAACGTAGGACAAAATGGACTTTAAAAAAAGAATTTGAAGGGAATTCCATGGGAATCAGGAGGGATGTAATTGATGAGGTTATATAAGTTGCTACCAGACTTCATTACAGCACGAGAAACGCGTACTTTTCGATAGGAATGAGAATGAGTTATCCTGATTATGTGTAGGTTTTCGCTAAATACCAAACCAAGAGGTATGGCGATCGACTTACATATATAAATAATCATAATCAGATCCTGGCAAAGCGGTAGAAACGGCGGGGACGCCGGGAAAGCCATTATGAACTGCACCAAATCCAGATTTTCCGCGTTTATCCTCTTTGACGTCATTCCGGTCGCGATTATTGCCATTAAGCGTTCTTGTAGTCGATGTTGTTCCTCTCGGCGACTCTTTCGGTCTCATTCGGCGACATTCCTGTCGACGTTATTCCGGTCAGATTTTGCAGGTTTGGACATTTCGAAGACGATATGTATGTAAAGCCCCTTCGCATCCCGTTTCCAAGTCCTCGCAGGTGAGACAAACGAACCGCTCGGTCCTGCCCTGAGTGCTTAAAGCTCAACATAAAGGGCGCTTCTCGAAAACGTCGCCACAAAGAAACGCGTCAGAAATGGCCTTCGAAGTCCCTTCGTGGACTCACTACGTGCTACCCTGTGTCTTTCCGATTCTCTCCGTCGTCATCGTTCCTGCATTTTTGTCATTACAATTCCATGACGATCCTCCTCCTCCTCCTCCGCGAACTGCCGTTGTATTCCCGCGAAAACCCAACGAACATCAGACTCTGAACGAGGGAAGACCTTGCACCGTCCTTCCTGCCCTCGCTTCGTATCGTCGCACCGCCCTTCCTCCTCTCGCTTCGTCTCGTCCCACCGTTTCCCCGCCGTGGGCAAGCCTCCAAAGAAATCTCCTTTCATGCTTTTTCGATCGTTCCAGACTTCCAGCGCTCGTGCGGTTTATCGCTGCGATTCGTCTCTATGGTGTCTCCGTCCTCATCTTCTGTCTCGATTCCTCTCGATGTCGATCGCGGGAAATCGGGGAAGGATCGCGCACTACGTAGCAGTAGCATCAAAGATCAACCACAGATCATCCGGAGATTTATCAACTTCTGTGAGTGAATCCCTGTCTACTGCGGTTCGATGATCCATCCGGGAAGAGTGCATGTCGTCGGGGAATTCCGAAATTTTCAGCATGTCAAGAAATGGATCTTTCTCTACTTTTGATTTACTTATTAGTTTTTTTTTTTACACCAGGGGAAAAAAAAAAATCGTTTGAAGAGGAAAGGGAATCGAGAGGGTTTGAACCACCCCCAAGGGCGCATACGAGGAAAATGTGAGTCCCCTATGATACTTATTCCCGCAGCCAGTGAAGATTCCAAATTTTCGGTCAGCATATTGATTGTCTCCCCCCCGCACCTTCCCAGACTCTAGGATAATTTAGCGGCGGACAGGCAACATGGATAAATATAGGAAGCCGTGTACTAAATTATTAATGACGGATGCACAAAATGTTAGCGAGTTCTAACTCATAGCTTTCAAATGCGACCCACCGTTCCTATTTGTAACGGTAGTTAATCTGTAATTTGTAACGACGGTCAAAACCAAGAGAAATGAGAAAAAATTCCCCGATGCCAGTAAAGACGGAGAAGAAATCTCGGCTCGATCGCGACGAGGGATGAGAATCTCCCGGAATTCAGTCCTTACTCTCCTCCATAAGACATCGATGGAACCACGTTTCCAAAACGGCCATCGTGTCGGACCAGAAAGAAAGTAGAATGCAGATTGCCAATTGACTTATTGGTACAAATATTGGTTATCACGGTTCCAAGATGTTCATAATAGGGCTGTCACGATAGGTCGATGCATCGATACCGCTATCGATAGTTGGAGATATCGATAGTTTTTTCGACCATCGCGATGAATCGGCAAAAAGATTTTAAAGGGGAAATGTCCCATTGGATTGAGGCGAGTTCAGATCAATAGTCCGTCCCGGCGGGGAAAGGAAGAAGCGGCGTGACCCGAATGGGCTTGCGATTTTTTTATCACAATCAAATTCCGGAAATGCTGGGACTGACTATATGAAAGACGGGAAGGGAAAAAAAA